ATTATAATGTTTTTAAAAATTAAGTATTTAAATTGTGAAAACAATATATTCAATAGCTGATGTATATTTCCTTTAAGTAGGAAAATAAGATGAAAATTTGGCTTTGCATTATTTTTAGCAGCAACTGTTTCTAAAACCTAGGGGGAAAAAACATACAAATACAAGGATATTCAAAATGGTAGCTACTTTAACTTATACCATAAATTAAAATTATACATCACTTCATTTTATTCATCACAGCATTCTAACCACATGCTTTCTCTTCATCCTAGTTACAAGCAGTAAAGTCCTTGCCTTCTTGTGATCTTAGCAAAGATTATTACTCCACACAATCTGAAGTACTCAGTACTTTCAGTTTACAAGTCCATGGATTAATTCTGATCTGTATTAACACTGAGTGGTCCTACCACTGCTACCTATAAGCAGTAATTCTGGACTGAGGTTCTCACACATCCATTCTGCTCTTGAAACACTCATGTTTTTCTTGATCAGCATATATGAAAGATTTCAGTTTGCACAATCCTCATTTAATCATGAAAATTGCACTTTCCCTTTTTTGCCCATGTGAGAAACTGTTTTTCATGGCACTGCTCTCTCCTTGGTGTCTCTTCAGTGTTGCCAATGTAATGACAGCTCAAATTGCACACCCTCATCTTCACCATCAAATTTGCTACTTATTTTTCACATAGTGATGATGCTACTTAGGCCACCATGAGAAAAGGTGTGTAAGCAGTTCATTAGCTCAAATGAATTAGTAAAATTATTTCCTTCTTGATTTCCTGACTTTTAACTTGATGAAAGGAATTTTCCACTGTATACTTGACTTATCACTAACTTCAACACAACATTCCATATTAATAAAATACTCCCTTTCACCCCTTTCTCCAAAGTTATTTCCTAGAAAAGAAAGCCAAACTTCTCCAATAGTAAACACATAATATTTTACAAATAATTCACTAGAGACTATAAGAATTAAACAATCATTTGTGTGTTTCAGGAAATAATATTAACATTGTAAATAACATTTTATCTTATCCAAAAGTAAGCAAGATGATTTATGAAGCAAATAAAAAGAGACAACTCTAAACCCAAAGAGCTTAAGCTGGAGGCTAAGCAAAGGAGAACAAGGAAAATATACACTCAGATTATGCTGAAATTCAATGAAAATTGTTGCTCTCCACTTTAAAACCTCTTCACAAATGGATCACAAAAATAGTAAAGGACAGAAGACAGAGTATCTCTATTTATGAAGAAGCCAAAGGTAATACTCAGGCCAAAGGCTGCACTTACAAGAATCCTGGATCAGCATGCCAAAAGAAGGCCTTATGGTGGGGTTCAGTTACCTGCAGGTGCTGAAGGCCATTTGAGATGCCCTAAAGTATGCAAGAAATCCATATGAGGTCAGCAGATAGGACACAGAGACTTACGGGAAATAAGTATCACTCTTTAGTGGAAGCAGGGGGCATGCAGGGTATCCCACAGCACTAAAAAGGATACCAGATGCCTAGATTTAGGCAAATTAATAATGTCTTTAATGTCTAGTATCATGACTGGGACGTTGAAAAAACCCCCAACAAAACAAACAAACAAAGACAAAAACATACAGTTCCCACTGGCCCAGTGAACCAAACTCAGTAACCAGTCAGTAAGCTAAAGGAAGACTGATAAGACACCATTCCATCAAAGGGCCCTTCTGCTTTTTGGTGGGGAGTGGAGAGGACAGGAGACACGTTACTCATGGCATCCAATATAGCTCAATCTTCTGTTCACCCTGCATGAATCTTACTGCATCTGTGTATGTTCTGCGCAGGATGAATGTCCTTTAAACAAGGTAATAAAAGACAATCTTGTCTCTGCTATTTTCTTATAATGAAGAACAGCTGTTCACCAGCCACTCTGTTTATTGTCTTCCACCCTGTCCTCCACCATACTCTCAGCCCTATCACCATCTCAGGTGATATCTATTATAGTGGTTCTATCTTGATTCCAGAAAACTTAAAATACCAATGTAAGAAAAGAAACAACCATTACAGATAACAAATAACTGCGTATAGGTAACAGTCATCCAAAATAGAAGAATGCAAGAGGGTGACATACTGTTTGCCTTACTATAGTTCAGATTTTTTCAGGCATTGTGGCAACATTCCTACCTTTTAAGGAAGCATTTAAGGAGGGATAATATATTAATTAGGATAATTGATTATTTGTAGTTTTCCTAACTGTCTGCTATAAAATGGCGTTCTCCCCAGAAAAACTGACACATGAGCTTTACAGCATTACAGCATGTTAGTGATATCATGGGAGCATTAAAGTGCAAAAGATGAGGCTCAGAATGTATAAATACCTGATTATCTCTCTCATGCATTTCATATATCTTTGTGGCTATTATATCATTGTAGGTTATACTTAAGAAACCAAACAAAGATATATACGCTATTGCCTTTTAATGTAGAATACATATGCACATTCCAATTAAATAATTTTTTCTGACGTGGACATCTTTTGTGAGTATTTTGATAACTACCATCCATTCTGTGTTTACAGGCACATTTCATTCAAGGGAATCCATGTAACTGCATAAGCACTCAATCATAAAGTAGTAATTATACAGTATCTTATTCTAAATGGTTTATAAAGTAAATGGTTTATAAAGTAAAAGGTATAATATTTAACAAGGGAGAAATGAGCAAATGTCCATTAGTTAACAGACTGCTATACTAACTAGGATACTATCACCAGAATAGAAGCTATATTTTAGGAAAGTAGTGAAATACTGATTCCCAGATCTATATGTCCTGAGGAATGTTTAATTTTCTGGGGGGGGGGAGGAATTACTTGTTAGTGAGGAAAAGCACTGCACTAACAGTAAGCCTAAAAATTGCTACCAAAACCCTCTCTTGAATCTATTCTGTTTTCCTGCCTTTTCACAATACCACTTTAAAACAAGAACTACAAGAAAGAACTGAAGTGCATCAGAAACTTGGGCTGGTCAGGTGGAATGAAGATAGGAGTTCAGAATGGCCCCACGGACAGAAACAGGATTAGCAGTTATGTAGAGACACCACGAAACCCTGAAAGCCAAACGTTGCATCTTCTACTGTATGCTGTTCTCATGACCAAGAGAGAGGTCTGGTGAAACCTAGGAGAAAGCAAGCAGTGAGGAGTGAAATGAGGGTTTGAAGCTCAGGCAGTGGGAAAGCGATGAATAAGTGGATTCCTTGTTATATAGGAAGAAAAAGGCAGAAGTATGTGCACCCATCTGTAGTACTGTAAAAGTAAAAAATAAAGAGTATCAGAGCTTCGATAATTTGCCTGCCCACATTCTTCTATTAGGCTGGTGAAATAAGTGATATACGTGCTGTGAGTTGCAGCAGGCTACGTCAAGCTATGTGTAGAATGGTGCCGCTATTCAACAGCCTCTGAAATGCAGAGGGAAGAATTAAACAGACCAGAATATTAAAATACAGTACCTGTAGTACAAATGTGTATTAGTATACTTGAAATATTGGTATTAGCTGAACTACACAAACTTACCTCAAAGTCCCCCCATGATTCTGCCATTATGCCACATTAGAGGAAATCTCTTCCAAAGATTACTCAGCTTAGCTAACTGTACACCATTTAAAACTGCACAGAGCAGAGTATTAGCTATTCATAGAGGATACAAACAACTCAATGTGTCCTTTCTGCCTGGCAAGCACCATATAGTTCAAGGTGGATCTGAAAACTGAGAGTGGACCTGGGCCAACATGATCTCAATTGTTATTTTCAAGAATAAAGTACGGCTAGCACCTCAGCATGCAACTCTCACTTGAGTGGAAGGGGATGGGAACAAAAGCAATGTTCTGAAACAGCTTTTATGGAAATCATGCACTGTATTTGGTCTCTGGGGCTGCAGTCTTGTTTAATCCTCTACTTTTAAATGCCATCTTCCAAAACCAAAGGGTAACAAGTACAAATTGTATCTATAAAACAGCATCACAACTTTATTCTCAACAGCTAAGTATTGAAATGCAAGCATACATTATAAATAGAAAAACAGCTGGCTTGGAGCACATTGCAAGCCACTAGCACAGTTGAGGGATTTGAATGACATCATAACCCGTGAGAGCATGTTGCTGGCCAGCTGGTGTTATTTATAATATACTCATAATTGAGGAAAAATAAAAAGGCAAAAGTTAGGTATTGCAGAACTAACAAAGTTAAATTCTTTCTTTCCCAGTGTCATTTAAATTGTTATCAAGAGTCATTATGAGGATTACTATTAAAAAGGGGGAAAATCACTTTATAATTACAACAGCACATTTAAGATAAATGTCACGGAAACCTCCCAAACTGGGCTACTTGTGTTACTGTATTCACGGTACTATAAATCCTAGGAAACAATACCACTTCTCCTGTGTAGTTGCTAAAAGATCACAAAGCTATTTTGCCCTATTTACAAGTAGTGCTCAACAATTCTGTTATTTTTAGCAAATTAGAAACTGCTATTTTAGGGTTAATAGCACAGAGAGTTGGAGGTTTTAATTGTTACTCAGCATATAGGCGTGCCAAGTTTAATAACGTAAAGATGCATTAAGAAAAAAGTAGATAACTGACTGCATGTATTTCTATATTCTATAAATAAAATATACATAAAATACCTGTGCCTCTATGCATAAAGAAAATGTGTACATACATACAAAGGTATGCATATAGGCAAACAATGCCCTTACGTATATAAGTTTTTATATATTTGAAATGCAGACACACACACACATAAATACAAATTCTGAAAGTTAACCAGAATACATTTTCTTATTTTTCATGGCAGCACAAGCTTTTTTGTCTGCTAACCCCTCAGTCACTAATTCACATTCTTTTAAAGGGAAAAAAATATGCTTCTGTGCTCTAGTTTTAAAATGCAAAGGTATGATGTTATTTGTCACCATGCCCAAAAAAGTCCTTACTCGGTAACTTTGCCAGAAGAGGGAGAGAGAGAGAAGGCAAACGCTCCCCCAGCTGTTTCCTGTCTACAGTGTCTGTGTAATGTAGATAAATGTGAGGATTTTCTCTAAATCCCTCTTCTGTTTGCTAAATCTCACTGTCACTGCTAAAATCAGAGCAGATAGAGCCTGCGCAATGGAATAAAGTCCTCAATATTGAAATGTGACATTGCTCTCAACATCTCACATCTCTCTGGATTTCTTTTTTCTCATCATTACTGCTAACAAATTCATTTCCAGACTTTGCACTTTTAAGAAGCAATGGAAAATATCAACAGTCTTTCAACACAATTAGTTAAGTGCTGCTTATGTGATTTCTTGAAGGTAAATCTTTAATACTATTTCAAATAATTTTTTAGTTTTATTTTACTGTGTATTGTCTGCTTCTGGTTTGGAGAGTATTGTGCACTTTTCAATAACATTATTTTAGAACTGAGAATTATTTATAAATTGCTGAACATGCAATTTTATGTGATCTGGAAAATGGCTGTATGTAATAGTTGCAATTACATAGATAACTGTAAGGGTAAACTATTGCAGATACATGTCTTAAATTTCACTTCTATTCAGAGAACTTTGCAATATTTCAGTTATGTCATTATTAAAGGGTCCAATTACATCATTGTCTATATTGTTAATTAATGCTTCTGAAAACAAGAACTTTTAGCTATTTTCTGCAGGTGCAGGGTTTTATAGGCAAAAAGGTATTATTCATATGTTAAGTTTCTGCAGTTTTATTATACACAATTATAGATAAAATGTTCATGCTTTCACAGGGAAACTTTTAAGGGATGTTGTCACTGCAGTAATTTTCTGGCAGCATTGTAGCATTTACTTGGTTTTTGCTTTCATAAATTAAAAGTAAATGTGAAGTTCAGTTTGTTTTCTACGTTAGAAACCAGCTGCGACTCTTGCTGACCTTGCATATTTGTATAGCTTAAGCAATTGTACATAAAGAAAATGGAAATTCCCCTACATGTTCATCTCCAAGTTTTCCCTTGTAGGGAGGGCTGTTTCAGGAAAGTTTGCATGTGAAGTTTCATGTTATGACCCTATAATTTCTAGACATTAATATAAACTGTCTTTAAGCAAATTTGGCTTCAGTAGGTGCATTGACCTCTGTTTCTGTCAATTGGCCCTAGTTCAACTTTCCATTATCAGCAAATTTATATCCTTCAAGAACAACTTTTCTTTAATATCTTGCAAGGATACTTATGCAGTTGACAGATTTATCCTATTTTAATTGTTTAGGGCCTAATTATTTTTTTGGAGTGTCTTACACTTAAAACACACTTATCTCATTCCTCAATGTGATTCAAAAGAGCAGGTCTGTAATAGCAATGGATGAAACCATTCTCTTAATGTATAAATGGGCATCTCTTCCAATATACTTGAAAGATGAAGATGATTTTTTTTTTTAAAGTATTGAGCAAGGCACTGAGAGACATAAAAGTAATGTGCTAGTTTCTCAGCTGGTGCATCCTGCCAAGCTTCCTTGGAATCAATGGAACATATTGATTTAGGCTAGGATGTAGCCCAGATTCTTTAATCAAAGTTAGCAGTATTTAAACCTTGATCTGATCCATTCTAGAGTATATATGCTTTATTTACATAATAATTACTAATGAATACTCTTATTACATACTAATTACATACTTCTACTATGGCTTGGTAATCAGATCCAACCTCTATGTAGCAAAATGTAATTTTGAATATAACTTGATTTTTTTTTTTCTATAGCATATACTACCCATAAAAACATTGCCCCCTTCAAGATATTTATAATTATTGTAGATGTTCTTATATGTTATTAAATGACCAAGCATGTGAAGAATTCTTATGCACAACTTGTGCCAACTGATAGTTTGTTAGATGAAGAGGACTTATATAGAAGAATTAAGAACTAAAAGAGATGCAGAGTGTTCATATATGACATTCCTCTGTGGTGCCACCCTTCTGGACTATTAAAAGAGGAATGCAGCAAAAGCTGGTTATTTTACTGAAAAAAGAGGAAATTCCAGCTGTGAAAATATGGTCAGTCATTCTATGCAAGTAAAAGAAGTGCTTAACCAGGCTCATCCTGAACCTGTATTCAATTTCCAAATGTAATTAGATGCTTCAATAAACCCCACCCACATGCCAATGCGTTTTCTTTTAAACTCTCAACTTTCTAGTCAAATTGAGGACATTGCAAGCACCCTGCCTGTTTGTAGAGAATCTGAAGCAATATTGGATTACAACTTCGTATTTTCTTAAGAATATTCCCTTCAGACATAAATGGGAACTTTGATTTTTATCACAAACATATTTAATCAACTAATGTTATGTTTAATTAAAATGATGAAGTAAAGTTCAAGTTTTAAACTATGTTTTGGAATTTGTTTTGATGAAACAGCACTTAATTTCACAAATAATTAATTGAGCCCTAGAAACATGTGGGTCTATTTTTTTTCCCCAAGGTTTTTACTTGTTTGAAAGTTCTTGACTGTTTTTAAATTTGGAGATAAAGTTAGAAATTCTCTGTGGTTTATACTGTGCAGCCTTTTTGGCTTCTACTAAAGGAAAAACAGTAGATAATCTGTTTTGTTGTAGTTCAGTGCTGATATTTATCTGAAAATGCAACCCAGCTGAAAAGTCTTGAAAAATACAAAATTGTTAAATGGCTAAGTTTTATGTTTATTTCTGGCCCAAATGTTATACAAGAACAAGTTGTTAAATACATAATGTTCTTGTATTTGTAATGTCTTTCAGCCTTCTGAGGCGGTGTGCTAACCAGCTTTCTGCTTTACCTCCTCAGAACTGGGAACCATCTTAAATTGCAGGTGCATCATGCTTATGGAAAAGGAAAAAACAAATTGATGTTGTTAAGATATGGAATCATTACAGGAAATACTGCCTCATGTTATCATAATTTATTTATATTCATATCTTCCTCCATCTGCCATTGAAGTCATATCCACGCATTAAAGCTTGTTGGTTTTTGAATGGCAAAGTTGGCTAAGGCTCTTGTGAATGGGAAAATAATTATTCCTTCATTTTATGGTAGATCATGGGACTTAGATTTGTTCATTATTTTCACAGTGGAAATATCAGGGAAAAAAGGGGGGATAAATTCTGACTTATTTATAGATTTGTCTCTTATTCAGCTTTGACTTAAGTTGAAATAGGGGACTCGTCCAGCAAGGTGCTAAGATCCCTTGTCAAGAAAATAAGAATTCTTAAAAATTATTGACTAGATATGGCTCAATACCCCACTGGATGAGATCCCATATGAGCGGACAGTAGATAATTTCATCAGTTTTTCAAAAATTCAGTGAAAAAATAAGATTAGATGGTCCCTGAAAGAAAGTTTAGGGAAGATTAATCATTTTACTCCAATTTCTTTGCACTAGTCTGCAGGTTTAGGCCAAGATTAACTGTATGTGCAAGGAAGTTTTGTAACTTCTTACCTAGCTGCAATACTAACGTTAACCTTCAAAGACAATGAAATTAAATGCAGATTTACACCTTTTGAAATAAGCGTTTTTGGCAGGTGATCTAAATCACTTCAGAATATGCATTAAGCACATTCTTCACTGTCCTGCTACTAAATAGAAATAGCTTTTCCTAGTATTTAAAAAAATAATGCTATCTTCCTTGACATGTTGGGTAAGATCTTTGGTTGATATAAATTTATATAAAAGGAAGTGGATAAAAGGAATAGTGCAAATTTACACCCATTGAGGACTGGCCTTTCTTCAGTCATAAGTCCCGAAAAAGATAGTTTGTAACCAAATGTAAATGACCAAAGAATTATCACCTCTGTGTATACCTCATAGCCAAAACTGACTAAGAGGATATAATGGAGGTCAGTGAAATTATAGCTGCTTCCATCAAGTAAAAATACAAATCCTTAACACTCCGACTAGTGTTGTTCTTAATTTCTCAAATGCTTCCAAATGTTAACTTGCTAGTAACAGAGGACTGTAAGAGTCATTGAATGTGGTCCCCTACTATGGAAGGTCCCACATCAACACTTCATAACTTTGGCAAGCTCTATCTTTTTTTGTTTTGTCCTGGTATTTCCCTTTTTAAGTGGCTGGAGAACCATGGAGTACTAATTATGAACCCTTTTCCTACTGGGACAAATATCCTTCCATCCAGCTTACAGCCAGTTATTCTCGTGCCCATGCTGTTCTTTAGTTTAAATAGCTCTTCTCTGTCATATGCCACCTCCATCTCCCACAGTACATTGGCAGGCAACTGTCATATTCCCTCTTAGCCTATATGGTCTCAGACAAAACAGTTTAAGGCTGTCTAGTCTTCCTTACTCTAGTTATTCTGGACTTCTCTTTGCCTGTCTATTGCACTCTTCCATATCGTCCTTTTGCAGGAACCATAAATCATAGTTACTACAAGGTTCGCTAACTGCATGTGAATGCGAACCAAGAATATTCACCAGAGGAAGCAATCAGTTTACAAAATACATGGAGTAGAATATGTAGACAGTTGCAAAATTATGGTGAGGCGTTTCTTGATACTGTGTTTATTGTCTAACAAATTACAGTACATATGCATTCTCAACTCACAAGCAGGAGTCATTTTCTTTAGGACTCTGTTGGGAAATTCTGACATTGCTTTTGCTTCCTTGACAGGTGAAGATGCACACTGTGTCCTACATTCATTTCTTCTATCTTGGCCTGTGTTTGCTTACCTTAACCAGTTCTGCTGCTGCTGGCCCAGAAACACTCTGCGGTGCTGAGCTGGTTGATGCTCTTCAGTTCGTGTGTGGAGACAGAGGCTTTTACTTCAGTAAGTCAACCCTTTCTTTCATTCAACTCCTGAACTTTTCCATGTAATCCACTGGAGTTTGCAATGGCTCCAAGTGAGGTTAGAAATGATCAAACCAGGGTGCCGAGTAGGACTAGTATCCTCTGTCTTGGATATGTCCAAATCTTCAGTGACCATGAAGTCTCAGTAAAGAATAGAGCTGTGCCTGTGTTCAGTCTCTCTGAGTTTCTGACAAATTTTCCTTTTTGGACGTGTTTTTGGTTTTAACTGCTTTCCAGCTGCTGCTATTCTACCTGCTATATTACTGCTTTCTGCAGACCTGCAACTGAAATTAAATGAATGAAAGCCCATACTAGACCCAAGATATTCATGAGGCAGAAATCCATGTACTTGCTATGTCAGACTACTTGTAAACAGTTTAAGAACACATATCAAAAACACACTAAGGTTCAACATCTGGTTTGAAAAAAAGAAAAGCTGGAAGGCAGCAAGCAGAAAGTTACCACATCAAAGTATCCACCTACTTCATCAGTTAAATACAGGTGAAGGAAAATTCATGCATGGTAACATAATACAGATTAACACCAGTAGAGAAAACAGATTAAATTAAGTCTGCAACAGTGTAGATATATTAGTACTCAAATAACTTTTTGGAGCAAGACCTACACTTTGGAACTGAACATCATATTTTTCCTTTGCTGTGTTTTAGATTGTGCAAAGCTGGACTAGTTAGATAAGTAACTTCTATCTTAGTACCTTCTTACAAGTGCTGTCAAGATCAAGAAATACACAACTTGTAAATAACAGAAATCTATTTCTAATTTTCATCCATTTGCTACTCAAATAACATAAAGTTAATGAAACTTTTAGCTAGGAATATATTAATTTTGAATTCATTCATTTATATATGTATTCAAAACATGCAAGAATTAGTGCTTTTTGAGGCTCTGAAGTTAGTGTTTATTTTTAATAATAATATGTGCTTATCTGAAGTTACCTCTCCTTCAGGGCCTCAGTTACCTTTCCAAACATGAATATAACTAAGAAAAGGAAATATAAGGTGGTTAGTTTATAAAAACAAGAAATAAATGGAAATTTTTTTTTCTGTTCATTTTTATATTCTTTGTGAGCTCTAGCTTTTTTCTTTTGTAGTCCTCATTTGATCCTAATAATTCTTGCCTTCTAAGCTATCACTTTTGTTTTTCTGATCTTATTCACCCCATTCCTATTCATTTCTATTCATGGAATTATTGCTTTCAATATTTTTCTCCTTGCTTGCAATAAAAATAGAATTAGGGAAATTCAGATTCTTGCATCTTTAATTTACAGAAACTCCTGATTTCCTCAGCATACAAGCTCCAGATATTTTCACTATCTTCTTGGCATTTTCTAATAAAGTTTACCTTTGAAGCTGGAAGCCTTAATTTCCTATATGCAAAGTAATTCACTAAACAATCCTTCTTTTCTGTATTTATCACTTTAGCTGTTGTTAATGAGCATCTACTCTAGGGTGTTGTTTAACTTAGTATCTTGGTGCTAAACACAATATTAAAAATACTGGAATCTCTCATAAAGGAATTTACATTTTTCTACCAACTCTTTATGTGCTCATTTGAACATCAAAATCCGTAACATTTATCAGCAGCTGAGTTACACTTAAGGGGCTATTTGAGTGTCCTACAAATAGGACACTGTTGGAAGGAATGTAGCAGAAGACTTTCATCTCCCCCTCTTGATTCTGCACCAGAAAACAATGAGACAACATAATGCATCCTTAGAACAGCATAGCACTTTTTTTTTCTTTTTTTTTCTTTTTTTTTTTTTTACTGTGCATGTATCTTAGGCATTTTCTCAGTCATTTCTCTCCCAGAAAAATGTTTGCTGCTTGTTCAGAGAACTTTCACACTTCCTTACCACAAGAGTGGCTGCTACTGCCAAGCAATCAGACCTACTGTTACTTGTACCCTTGGTGTCCCTCAAGGTAAGAGGACATGTGAAATGCTAATCATCAGCAATAACTCTGTTTCCAATCATCTCAGCTATTCTAAGGTTACACAATCTGTTTCAAATCTGTACATTCCCTAAACTAAATCATCCTTACTTTAAAGTACCAAGATGTGTTTCTGAAGTTTTGAAGGAGATCTTTACCCTTGCAATCTTGAGTTTTATCTGCTGTCAGTAAAGACTTTGTCTCTAGTTTTCTTTGTTTTTTCTGAGTTTTCACTTAGAATTAATGTAACTGTTGACACCGTAAGGTCTACCTTGTTTTGTATGAAAGACTATGGAAGGTTTTACTAATGAATGACCACCCTGTTTTAGGCAAGTCTTGCACTGTTGTAATCAACAGACTGCAACATTTGACAGGAATTCTATGAAGTTGATACGTGGCCCTTGCATGCTAAGTAATGTGTGTAATCTACCTGACTACTGATTCAGGAGGCAGCAATTTAATGTGTTTTAGCCTTCTCCCTCTTGCTTGTTAATGTTTAATCTAAAATACTGAATTGTAGAAAAGTCAATCCAGTAACATTAGTAAAACAAATTGAGATCCTTCTATCAAATGTACTACAGAATACAGCATATTATTGGAAGTTAAAAATGTTTTTCCATTTCATGGGACTTCTTAAGAATGCTGTATCATTGCAGACATAAATATCCAGTGAAATTTTTTCTTTTATTGTGAAGAGAATGTCAATTTAAATTGTATTTTAAGCCTTCTATTCTCATACTTTCGTTCCTTTATATAAAGTATAATCAATGGTAATGTTTGCCTTTAACTTGCACAGGAAATAGCTGTGAGGGAAGGTTTTTTCTTCCATCATTCTGTATTTCACTAGAGACTCCAAATATAAAGAATACCTTTTGGCTGAGGTGGAACTCCTGGTTCAGATTCAAGGTCAAGGCTTCTAAGTATTCCTTGGGAGTTGTGGGTGGAAATGAAGATAGAAATAATTGAGTTACTTTCTGTTGAAACTCTGTACTTCACAACCACAAGGCTATATCTACAGCTAGGACTAGAAGAAAAAAATAATCCTTTATATAGTCTACTCTGCCCAACTTCCTAGCTATAAAAGGAAATTCTTTACAGCTTCTGAAGAGATGCCCCAGCTGCTTACCACACACAAAGGAAAGTATTGACTTCAAGAAGTCAAATGTGGTTTCTACCACTCCCTTTCTTCATGAGGTAGACTGGCAAGGAACATTTTTTAAAATTGTTTTAGGGGAGGACACGGCACAAATCCCAAAATAGAGCATCTGCTTTTTCCCTTGGTCACATTTAACCCCAGCCAGCACTGGCCTCTTCTTGGACAGCTTTTTTGCTCCCATGATTCACCAGTGAAGAGCAGTTTGTTGCCACCGTCTATCTAGCAACACCTCTCTAGCAGAACTTTTGCCACTCAGATTCCTGTGTGCTAGCTTGTGTTAGGAGAAGCCAACAGAGAGCCTGGCCACAGCTACACAAGTGGCTACGCTTAGACACAACTCTTCTGAGTTAATGTTTCTCCAGTCTCAAAAACTCTGGATTCAACAGTCACGATGCGAAGTGGGATGACTGCTATGTTCATTTGAATTTTAATGCCAAGAAAGGTCTACCATGCCACTGCTATTACAAAACAATCCTGAGGGCAGAGAATGTCGGAAAAACTGAAAGGATAAATTACAGGAAACTTACAGAAGTGATAGCCCAGGAGAGGCAAAATTTTGCTTGAAATAGTCTAGTCTTATCACAGGAATTTACTTTGTAGATTAATAAAAAAAGAGATTTTTTTTTTCTTCATACAAGTTGAATTTGATGGACAATCAAATGTCACTCATGTTGTTTCCTGAGGACTATTACTACCAGGAGAAAGGAATGAAAATGTAGTTTGCTCTGAGGAGCAAATGCTATGTTATTTTTTATCTAGTTTCTTCTCCTTTGAAAATATACCTTTTCTTTTTCCAATAAATGCATACCAGTTTGGCTAGCAATACACATGAGTACCAATAAAGAAATAGCTTTTTATTTTTTTAGACACTTTTGGTCATTCTAATTTGTAAAGCCCAAGTTAGATGGCAATACTTATTTGAAACCATGGCAATCTATTTCATGAATTAAAACCCCACCTTTTTTCTGTTAAAAAAGCTCTGCTTTGGGCTTGTCGTGGTTTAACCTGGCTGGCAGCTAAAACAACCACACAGATGTTCTCGCATTCGCAGGGCTTATGGTGAATCTTCTGAAGCATTGCTTGCATAGAAAAGAGAGTTTATTTAGATATTTGACACAATGGAGTTCCTCTGATATTCTCCAGAGAATGGAGAATGATCTAGCACATGTTTCCATATGTAGAAGAGGGAATCCTATAAAAGACAGGCTTTTCTGGTGTGCAGCCTAATGCTCCCTATGTCAACTGCTTTGTGGGGAATCATTACAGATTTTTACGACATTTTTTTCCACTAAGGCAATCAGAATAGTGTGTTGTCCTTCTTGTCCCCAGCTGTGCGCAACAGAAGACTATTGGTTTATAATCATCAGAAAATCAGAATAGGACAGCGAACATAATTTTGGGTAATCAGAGCTGTCATCAGATCTCATTTCTTTGTAGAATTAAGGTATATACAAAGGAACTGCTGCATTACAGAGGAGGAAATAAGGGGCATAGTAATAGGCAATTAAGTTTTGCTTCTTCCCTTTCCCTTTAGTTAACAGCTTCTTGTTTACTTCAGGAAGTCTGCTTTTAAGATGTTATTAAAGTTTCTAGGCCTGTCAAACCTATCAACATAATTACAAGAGATGGCATGGCACTCAGTTCTTTAACTACTCCATACCTGTAGGAGCTATGAGTCATTAGCTCCTCTCTGTGTCCCTGACTGAAAGGAATGTTAATGTTACAAGCCCAGGAGAGGCATGCTGAAAAGCTGTGGTGGACATACAGCCTGTGGTGGACATACAGCCTGTGGTGTCAGTGACTGTCTTGCAAATCTTTGCAAAGAAATGCTAGTCATCTTGGCTATGTTCACAGAGCAAGATCTGAGAGCATTTT